CACTCTGACCTTCAGGAGGTCGCTTCGCCCCAGGAGCCGCCGGCGCGGGACCAGCGCGGCCGTGGGAAGCACGAGAGAAACACGCGCACACGCCCGTACGCACACGGTAGATGCACGGCCACATAGTTGATAGATGCACACAAACACATGCACACGAGACAGATGCACACGCGCTAGACAGATGCACACGCACACACACTAGCTAGATGCACACGCACACTAGATAGATGCACGCACACACGAGACACACACACGATAGATGCACACATGAACCCACAGGATAGATGCACATGGACACACACTAGATAGATGCACATGCACCACACACACTAGATACACACAGTAGAGAGATTCATACACTAGGGAGATGCACCCATGCACACAATAGGTGCACCCATGCGTGCGCGCACACACACACACACACACACACACACACACACACTAGATACAGTAGAGAGATGCATACACTAGGGAGATGCACACATGCATTCTATATGGATACATCCATTTTATCTCTCTCTACAAATAATACGTGTGTATATATACAGGATGGATGCACACCCACACATTTATATATAGATATACACACTTTCTATGTAGAGAGATAAAATGGGTATATCCATAGATAGATACACACACACACACACACACACACACACTACTTGTTTCTGTATCTCTGTGTATATGGTCATAGAAACCTAGAGAAGCAGGGTTGGAAGGGATCTCCAGAGGTCATCTAGTCCCACCCCCTGCCTGAGGCAGGATCAGCCCTAGCCAAGCCATCCTGTACAAAGTGTCCATCATTTATTCTAAACTCTATAGAAGATGACCGTCGACTCTGATGCAACATACACCTAACACCCTAACCTGCCGCAGATTCCATATATATAGATATAGATATCGATATATCTATACCTATACACACACTATAGATACACATAGACATTGTACTGTATACACACTGTAGATATACGCATATACACTCAAACTATATAGATGCACTGTACACGTGTACACACTATACAGATATGCACACATTGGGTATGCCTAAACGTGTACTTTACTGCGCATTAGATTAATCTAATGTGCAGTAAAGCTTCACTGTCTACATGTGCACAGCAGTTACTGTACAGTAGATTAATTTAGAGTGCTGTTTGCTAGTACGTACAGATGCAGATACAGGCAACCCCCGCTTAATGGTGTTTCGCTTAGTGCTATTTCGCTATAATACTCATTAGAAATTGATACCTGATTTCACTTAGTGCTCAGTGAGTTTTGTTATAACACTTGCGGGCATCATCTTGGGTCATTAAAAATAATTGCAGTCACCATCTTGGGTCATCAAATTATTTTGGTTTTGCTCAACGCTCATTTCACTTAACGCTCATTTTTTCAGGAACCAATTAAGAGTGCTAAGTGGAGGTTGCCTGTACTAGAAAACAGCACTTTAAAATAATGTGCCTAACTGCACATATAGACAGTGATGTCAGGATTATTTACTCCAGTTTATATTGCGCCATAGTTTATTCAGTTGCATTAATTGCATATGTAGATGCACCCACTGTGTATACACGCACACTATTTAGATACACAGACATTGTGTACACACACACTGTATAGACACATACATGTGTATACACACTCACTCTAGATACAAGCACACACACACTCGCTCATATATCTATATATAGGAGAGATATAGATATATATATGCATATACATATAAAGCAAGCAGTCGTTCAACCTTTTGCTTTCCCTGTTAAACTTTAAAAAACCAGGATTAGGGCAGGGGGACCCCCCCCCCCCCAAATTCTTTTTTCTTTCACTTTTGAAAAGAACAAAATCTGGTTCCACCCAGTTTCCACTGGTACCCACATTTACTCCAAACCCGACTCATTCTGTTACCACCCTTGCTAGATGCCCTCATAAACATTACAGGACAAGCTCATTGTCATTTTGAGCAAAGTTGCAGCTTACCCTTGGTAATAGAAGGGCTCAAGGAGCTGGAGATTCTGTCCTTAGTAAGTCCATGTTTGGGAACAACATGTCCCTGCCAGGGACCATCAGAAGGAGATGGGTAAAAGGAAAGGTGTAAAATTCCCCAGAACCATAATATTCTCTTTGTACCACCACCTTATGTATAAGCAGTACAAATGAGCTTGGCTGTGCTGAAGTGCAGCTGGATTACGGATAGCCTGTGTTGGATTTCAGTATCAGAACTGGAAGAATGACAAAGAAGACCGAATTAATAGCTGCACTTTGAATTAATTATATGCTGCCCAGCCCCTTGGGGAAGCTAACAGAGAGCTTATACTCCATCATAACTTTTGTTACAATCAGTGGAAATTTGAACTAAGTGCAGGATCAAGCCCTTCTAGTATAAACATGGCACAAAATGCTTGCTTAAAATGAGCCAACAACTGAGGTGGATTAGCATTTTCAACAGTAACAAAGAAATTGGCAAGAAATCAAGTGCTGTGGTCCCCCTGAATTTCTTTTTTGTTTCTTGCTCTTTTTAAACCAGGGAATATGGTTCCAGAACAATTCAAGCATTTCACACATGCCATACAATGGGCACCGAATATTCAATTCCTACCAGGAAATTATTTTAGCAAGATGACAGTTTTGACACATTTAAGGCTTGAGAGAGCAGGTCTATTTGTTAATATGCTTTTTAGTCAGTGACAGTCTCTGACGATTTTCACACCAATCTGGACATTACATCACAGCACTTTCACCAGCAGAAGTCTTGAACTGCTGACAAATATAACAATTGCAGTAGGTTAACAAGGACAGTATCACATTTCTGTGCCAAGTAGCATGCTGAAAGGATGTTAAAAGGAAAAAGCTTTTTGATAGTATACATTGAACTTGAGTGTCAGAACTGGAAGGATGACAGATACTAATGAGCATTGCTTCAGTGCTATCTTAATATTCAGGTGTCATTTCTGTTTTTTTCTTTTCTTTTCATGTGCTTTTCACATTTTTTCTTCCTGCCGTACAAAGTACATAAAGAGTGTCTTTATTTTTATTCATCTAGATGGCTCAAGTGGAAATAAGCTTAAGCTGATGCTTCAAAAACGAGAAGGTAAAAAAATTCTCTTTCATAGTGATAAGCAAATATAAATACAATTGCCAGATGCCAAAACTCTAATGTGAGTATTTTTATTAGGAATAGTTTTAAAATGTCTTTCCAATGAAAAGATAAGGTAGTTTCAGGAGTATGGGAAGAAATAGTCACCAGAGGCAACTGGGTACAGGCACTACTAAATATATAGCATGCCAAAAATACCGCTAACATGTGGGTTGGCAACCTCCAGCACATGTGCCAGAGCATGGCATGTGAGGCTATTTTGCTTGGGACACCACAGCCAGCCCGGGTCCTAGGCAGCTGCCACTAGCCATGGGGCCGGGGTTGCTCACGGCAGGTCGTGGAGAGACTGTAGCCCTGCTGGGAGTATCCCGGGCTCCATGGCAGGCAACTGGGAGGCTGCAAATGGTGCATCCAGTGCACCACAGAGCCAGCAGAGCCCTGGCCCAGTGGCTGCACATGTGCCTCGGGTTGTGTTTGTAGCCACCACTGCAATGGAGCTGAGCTGGGATTTCAGACCCTGGTGCAGCTGTTTGCAGCCTGCCTACTGCTTGCTGCGAGCAGCCCAGGCTCTGTGGCAGTGGAGGCTTCACACATACCTGGCAATGCACAGCAGGCAAGGGGCTGGGAGCAGCGTGGTCCCCTGAACCTCTGTGGAGCTCCCTGAGGCTGGTGTGCAGCTGCTGTTGTCAACAAGTTGGCTGAATCCCCCAGCATCCCAGCATGCTTTGCAGCCTTGGGCCATCCTGTGCTGTCTGCTCCAGAGAGCAGGGCTGGCCCTGCCTGTCTGCTCCCTAGCTAAGGCAGTGAGGGCTGGCTCACTAGCTCCCTCAGGCAAACCCCAGCTGGGGTCTAAGGCCAGGGAAGGGGGTTAAGCTCCCCTTCCCCTGAGTACAGAGCTGCCCTGCCCTGTTAAACTTAGTGCTGGCTGCAACTGTGGACTATAGATCCCAGAGGCACCTGGAAGTGGGAAGAGGAAGTGTTGAGCAATGCTGCAGAGTTCTGCTGTTATGATTGTGGACTGCAAATCCCAGAGTCCTTGGGGGCAGCAGGAAGAGGAAGTGAACACACAGCTGAGCTGTGTTTAATGCTTACTTCAGAGAAAGGACTATTCTTGTTCAAGCTTTTATGAATTCAATGCCACTACCTTTTCCCCCACCCAACCCCTCCTCAGCCTGGCAGCACTCCCCCCGCCCCCCCCCCAGCAGAGCAGGGGCTGGGGCCTGGCCATGCCCTCCTCCACTCCAGAAGGGAGTGGGGGGAAGTCTTGGAGGGCTTCTCTCTTCCTTTCCCTTTGGCAGTGTCTGGCAGGTATGCTCTAGCACCCCCTGGCTCCTGGCTTGAGCCACTGCAGGCATGTGGCTGCATTTGCTGAATCAGAAATATCTGTTCATTTGCTTATCGGTTCAATCTCTGCAGCTTAGACTAACCTGCAACGACTGAATCAATTCAGCCTTGGGCTTTTTGACTATCTGTACTTAGCCCAGAGGGTCTGCTCAGAGCCTGGGCTGCATGCAGGCAGGCACAAGGCTGCCAGTGACTGTACTGGGATCCAGAGCCCCAGCAGGGAAGGGGCCAGGGCTGCGCTGCCACAACAAGGATCTGGCTCCCCTGCCATCCACCCCTGGCATGCCAACATCTTCCAGGTCCAGGCCGTTGGTTTTTTTGGCACTCAGCCCAAAAACATTGCCGACCCCTGCACTGAGACATACATTCGCAATTCTATGAGGCTTATTACACATGTTCTTGGAAATACTGTGCATGTGTTACAGCTGATGCAGAAAACAGCAACAGAAATGACAGGGGATAACCTATGTGACAGACAAATAACCAACCTGAAAGCAAATGATCCTACATACTACTGAGCCTCAGGTAGCAAATATAGTAATGCTTACAGGTTCCAGTATATGCATACATTGTCCAAAGGCACCCAGATAAAAATCAGCATAGGGAATGGAGAGACCAAAAATTATATGGATTGAAAAGAGGGGGAGTGCTGACAGTAGCTCATCTGAATCTGCTGTAACAATTTCACGTGTCCATTCTACCCCATGGTAAGTAGAAGTAAAATTGCCCATTGTTTCATTTAAGGGGTGTATCGCTGTATTTTGACTTTGCTTACTGTGGGGTAGGAGCAGACCCATGAAATAGTTACAAGCTGATCCAATGTGAGTGATAACCTCTTTACATCGATATCATTGTTCCTCTGTCTATATCCTCCAGTGCTACAGGGGTTTAGGTTGTAGCCATGTTGGTCTAACGACACAGGCAGACAAGGTTCTTTGGGTGAATCTGATATCTTTTATTAGACCAACTTAAATAGATGGAAAAATATTTTTTTTAAAACAAGCTTTTGGGTTTAAAAACCCTTCGTCAGGCTGAGGAAGTTTCAGCAGTTGGTGTGTGCTCTTCCTGGATGGAATGAAAAGTAAAGAAGCCAGAGGCTGGGCTGGTATGCATACAAGATAGGCAGCCAGTGAAGAGGGACCTGGTCTAATAAAAGATATCAGACTCACCCAAAGAACCTTGTCTGCCTATATCCTCCAATTATATTTAATATTAATTCCATCTGGTAGGTACTAGAGTTTTTTCCCCATTTACCCAACATCAGCACCACTATCTGTTGGGGTCTCAGGTCTAGAGTAGAAAAGGTGTAAGCTACAGCACCTTAACTTGTTCCTTTTGTCTGCTCTCCTATTAAAGGAGAATACTGATAGGGCATTGACCAGGTTCCTGCTTGGAAGAGCACACCAGCCAAAGACAAATAAGGGTCCAGTGTATAGATGATCTGAAGTGACTTAAGAGTTGAGCATGGGTTGAAATGGGCACGGCCAACACACACTAGGTAGGGAAAAGAACCAGTGCCACAGAGAGGAAGTCTGGCTGAAACACCTAAGATGCAGCTACCTGCCTGCTCTCAATGCAGTTTCTAGCTCAACCACAGAAACCCCCAATCAGATTCGCTCTTCCCTACTTTCTCTTGGGCCCACTTAATGCTGCATTGGCACTCTTCACCCCCCCGTATTCTAGGCATCTCCATTTACCTCCTGGGACTTTCTTTACTCCTCTCTGAGCACCAGGTACAGGCAAGGGAAACAGCGCAGAAGCATCAGCTTTCAGCATCCCTTGTCTCACTGTCCCCAGTAGCAGATGAAATAGATCAGAAATGGATGTGCTGAGATGTCTGGGCTAATAGCCAACTCATGAAATGGCCTCAGAGAATGGAGGAGATGGCCTGGGCTAGAAAGAACTGCAAGACTTGTTTCTTATGCTTAGTAGTGAGGCTTGGAAGGGTTTGACCGTCTAGGACTGTTGTGCTCATTAGGTCTAGTCTATTAGAGCCCTCTTTCTGGAAGCACACTAAAAATACAAAACAAATGGACAATACCATCTTAATCATTCATCCTTCTTCCTGTCCTAGTATGTAGTCAGACATAACGTTTCGCAAGTTTCTAACATTGGCTCAATCAGCAAAAAGAACTTAATATGTAAAATTTAACATGTAAAATGTGTAAAAATTATTTCCACATGACCTCAGAAATGATTTAAAGTCAATTTATGTGCATTTTCTCTGAATCCTTAGTTATTAGTATTTGTCATAGCCTCTGTAGGCTTGTTTCCAGAGTGACTCTTGGTTTGTATCCATTTTCTTTTCCTATCCTCCTCTTAGCAACAAAGATGGGATACAAACGTCACTCATGAAAGCACACAATTTACAATATAGAGGCCTTTTCACTCCTTGCTTATAGTATATCTTTTAGATGAGTACAGCCAGAGCAAAAAATTAACAAAATGAAGTAAATCAATGGGCTGTGTTATATTTTATTATAGTGATTTCTGTTACTTTTTATTACTCTTATTATTCCTGCATGTATAGAACAACAAAACATGAAGGGAGGTTTAATGAAAGATCTCATTATGGTAGATTTTGGGCTGATCCAAAATTTACTGGCCTGTCTTTTGGGGAACTAAATTTCAGCTCCTGCTCCAGCTAAAACAGAGGTGTCAGTAAAAGAAAACAAGGCCAAGGAGTTTTTAAGCAGTTTGAAACGCCAGAAGCGCCAGCTGTGGGACAGGACTCAACCAGATGTGCAGCAATGGTACCAACAATTCCTCTACCTGGGATTTGATGAAGCAGTGAGTACCAGTGTTTCAAGAAACAAAGGGGATTATAGCATGCCAGTGCAAAACATGCTTTAGTTCTTTTTTCCACAAGGTGACATTGTTATAGCTTGAGTAATAAATGTTACAGGTAACTGCAGAGCCCATGTTTGCTAGAGAACTTTATTTACCAGTAGGAATCTCTACCATTCAGTTTATAACAAAGGTTATAAAAAAAGGCTATTCCTACAAAGATATCTTTTAATTAAACTAAATTATAATCTGGTTTATATTTTGCATTTTTGTGTGAGGCACACACATACTGAACTAACTTGCACATTTTTCACATGACATGCGAGTCTGGTAGTGTCAGCCTAGTCCTTTTGTGTGTTTCTCCACGCCACAAATTCACTCAGTTTGGCATGTTCAGCATTTTTCTAGCCATGCTCACAATTGACAATTGTGGGAGATGTTTTCACCTCATGTAACCCACATGTTTGGGACATGTCCTGTTCTCAGCTTCTCACCCTCACGCGTGATAAAAGTTTTAAGTCAACACAAATGTGTAGAAAACATGGCAACTAGTTGAAGGTATTTGGCAAGACTTCTTATAAATGATACTTCCTGGAAAAATAATGACTATGTTGAAAAGTTGGGGTGAAACCAAAGTACTGGTTCATATGCATATTGCACAAAGCCATCCCTGATAGAACACTAACACTGGGGAAATTGCATGTTTTAGTTGTATCTTCCAGTTTTGCTATAGTTTATACAAATAGGAGAATTTAAATTAGTAATAGATACTCAATTTTTGGCTTCTATTAACTGCATGAATACTTCTGATGAGATCAAACTGGTACCAGCAGCAGGCTTTATTAAAGTAAAATCTCCAAGGCTGTGTGGATTGTTTAGAAGATAAAACTGCTGATTTTTTAAGCTTAAATTATTACATAATGTAATAATATACTTTGCCTGGAGTAGGATAATGGAGAATACAATTCTTAATGGTTCTATATGTCCTGTAAATAAAAAGTATTAAATTATTGTGTGAGGAGACATGCACTTAATCAGAACATAAAGGAATAAGTAGTCATTTAGTGCCTCAGAGATTCAAGACTACAGGCATATATATTAAACAGGTAACAAAAGATTGAGCATCCTCCCCATAATGTTAAATGTTCCTTTTGGAATTGCATATGCATATTTCAAAAAACTGCTTGAAATCAAGCATGTGGTTGGATTATAATAAATCAGGATTTTAGGATTTCTTGGTTAACAAATACTAGGACATATATTTCAAAAATTTTCAAGCTCTAAATCTGTATAATAAAAACAGTTTTAGCAATTAAGTAGTTTAGCAATGCTTTAAAAAGAATGTCAGACAATATTCAGAAATAAGTTCACAGAAAAAACTTTTTTCAAACTGCAGTTAAAATCTCCAATTTCCAATTTAATCCTTATTTCAGAGGCGAGAATTTGGTCTGGCAGATGCTTGATATTCTTGCACATGATACCATCCCTCTAACTTGCCTGTGTTTTCTTTATGAATAGGAAGAAACATTCCTGC